TATTCAGATGTAAACTGGCAGGTTTCTTGGACTCAGTATCAGATGGATGACATCTGACACTTGAAGCAGAACTTAAGACAGCAAACTTGTGATAGAACAGCTGCTGAAAAGAGTCTCACCCTGAATTCTCCCATAAAGTTTTAAGGTCAGTGTAGGTGGCCCTGAACCTTTTCCCTAGAATCCTGCAAACAGTACTAGAGATCCCAACATAATTTGTTATCTTTGGATGGAAGTCAGCTTCTTAGTATCAGATGACACCTAAACAAGGCTAGAGCTAAAGTGTTCAATTTAGATATAATTCCACAGCACATATATCCACAGAGATCAAAATAATGAAATATGCATTGTCTCATCATGACACATACTTTGCTCTTTTGTATCAGTGTTGCAATGTCAAACACAAGAATGGAAAGGGAGGAGTTTGCATCACAAAGTCATCAAACAAGGTTGTCATTTCCCCCTACTTGCCATCTTGCTTGTCTGTCCCCGCCCACGCCTATGCTTGTCACTTACTCCTTATCTAAACTGGAACAAAAGGAATTGGATGAAACTAGTTCTGTCAGCTGACTGTAAGGTAGTGAAGTAGATACTCCAAGGATGCGTTAAAAGAGAGCAATTCTGGTTTTAAGAAAGGCATAAATGTAGCTTTTCCTGTTCATCTTGCACTGGAGAGGTTGATGGGAATGCTAAGGGTGGCAGTGAGAGAGACATATTTAAAAATCCCATGATTCCTTAATGTGTTTTAAGCCACTTAAAGAGGTAAAGCATTAAAACCATTGTAAAACACTGTTAAACTACATGCCAAATGTCATCAGTAAAGGGCCAGGATGTGGACTGTGATCTGTCAACCCAGCCGTAACATAAATCATGTTGTTTGGGGATCTTATTAATTTATTTTTCCTAACTTGTATTCTGCCATTCTGTCCACACAACACTCAAGGCAGCTTACAATAAAAATACAAACTATAAAACATATAAACAATACCATGAAAATGAGAGGCAAAAAGAAAATCATTATACTTTCTGAACCAGTCACCCCTTATCCAGAAATCTTTTAGAAAAGGGTTCAGAATGCACAGCATCGCTTTTGAAATCGTTAAAGCAGCTGCATCTCTTTCTAAGCTAGCATGGCTGTTTCAGAAATTGTTCCCAGCTATCTCTACATGCATGAACATGTGCAGCCCTGTAGCTCTGCACTTCAAAGACAGCCAGGAACAGCTTCTGAAGCAGTGTGAGAGCTGGAGGAAAAAAGATTGCTTCAACAATTTGAGGGAGGTGCTACTGTATATTCCCAAGCACTTTTTTTGAAGGATTCATACTACTAACAAAGGCCCATCTATCTAATATATGGGCTGGAGCACAACTGCTGCATTCAATATGTAATCTACAAAGAGAATTTCATCATAAAATGTATTTATTTCATCATCAATTTTAACTGATACATGGCATTAAAATTAAATATCTAGACGACAATTTCTTTAAATTAATTTCTTCTTCCCTTTTTGCCCAGAAATGAGTTTTGGCTGTCACAATCTGCATGCTATCTCTGTGCAATATTCATATAAGAGAGTTGCTGATTAATATTCACTTAACTCAGTTGTTGATTAATAAAAGTTCGCAGAACCTGCCTGTGCAAACTTTCTGCCGTTGGGCAAAACCTTTTTGGATATGAGATTTCATCACAAGTGGCAGGGAAAAAAACCAAGAGCTTAAATTATTTTATCACCTAAGAACAATAAAGGGAAGAAAAAAAAGGAAAAAAAGTTTAGAGGATTATTGGTAGCAAGCCTCTGCTACGCAGTGCTCTCCAGTATGTTTTTGTAGTAAAACAAATTACCAGATTCCATTTTGCTCTAGAACAGAAATGATATAAATAAGAATGTTTATATATTAACATCACCATGTAATAAGTAAAACACCATACTTCCATTCAGATAACCAGTTACTACTATAGCAAAGGATATTCACTGATACACATAGGTAATATTGCAATAAAAATTCCAGTTGCAAAGAAATCTTTTGAAAGGAAAAACTCAAAGAAAAATTAAATATGATGCCAGAGAACATGGTTACAAGCCTTATGGAAGCCAAACGTTTCTGTTCACTTCATGTAATAAACAGAGAGCAGTTTTGCTTTTTGTTCCCTATCATCACAAGAGATGATTTACTACAGGAGTTAGTAAAGTTGGCCCCAACTTCTTACTCCCATTAGGAGACTGGCCAAAAGCAACAACTTCTTCGTTCTTAACTTGGCATGAGATATGCCTTAGTAAGAGGAGACATATGTCATAACTTGACCAGTTCTCCATCACCATCCCAATCACCACTTTTCAGGGGAAAGAGTCCCCTGTCCCTCCTCTCTTGCAAATTATTTCAGGGACTTCCAGGAATAATACTCCCCCATTCCCAAAACCTGAATTCAATTGTGCTATGACCCTGATCAAATAGGTTTGCAGAAGAGGAAATACAATTTGTAGAACTAATTCCTAAAATTAGCAACATACATAAACAAACTTTCAGCATAAGAAAAAAAAAAGGGAAATACTTTACGATCCTGGTGTATGACCTACAACAGGGATCCTCAACCTTGGCTGGCTGGGGAATTCTGGGAGTTGAAGTCCACACATCTTCCAGTCGCCAAGGTTGAGGAACCCTGACCTACAAGACACCTATCACGTTCCAGGGATTTATACAGAAAGATTTAAAAGCATAGATAATCTCTGTACTTACTGGAATTTTGTTTGGATGTTGTTCTCGGATCTGCTGTACCTCTTTGCAACGATCCGCTGTGAAAGTGAAGCATAATTGATTTAGGAATCTGAAATATTTTTCCAGCCTATATATATTCTACACTTCTACAAGCCTAAGAAAAATTATGGAAGAGGGAGTGAGGGTGAGTCTGAGGTTTTTTCCTAAAAAAGAATCACATGAATCATACCAATCCAAATACAGAGGCATGCTGTCAACAGTAATATTTATCAAGAAGAACATTTGGTATTCCCACAACAGCATCGTCCAAATGTTCAAGCCATTTGAATACAAGCTCTCGAGATGTTCACCAAGGATGTGAGCCTCACTACTCCCTCTCCATTTGCACCTCACATACAATGTACCTAATTCCCTTTAATCTACCAAGGGAGGTAGAGACAAAATTCTAGAATAACACCCACCTGTTCTTGAAGCATCTGACACTGTGCAATGTAAACGAATTAGTGCCTGCCTATTCTTCTATTTACTTGAGTAGCAAAAGTATTTTAGTATTAGTTCATGTATTTTAAGAATTACATACAGTAGCCTGTTTCCTGCCCAAAAGGAAGCTGTCAACTCAGTTTCTATCAGCTATCTTGCTCATGCACAGAAAACAGGCCTGGTCCATTTTTTTTTTTTTTTTTGCCTTGTTTAAAAGGATGCTATGGGTTGCTATACGGTTCTGCAAGTCTTTAAAAAAGTCAGTTTTTCCCTTTTGATCAAGCACACAATTAAATCCATCATTTTCAGCCCTGTCCCCTCTGGAGGGTTTTTGGATCATAATGCCCACCGGCAGTAAGGGTTCCCTTGTCCTTGATTTTCCCATCTTTCAGAGGTAAGCAGAAGGTAAGATGAGATCTATTAACTCAGATCTATTGCATTATTTGCAGCAGATCTCCAAGGATTTCTAACTGTTGAACATTTCTACTGCAAAGTAAAAAAATCTTCTGCGTGGCTGTTTTTATGTTCTTCTTCAGAGACTTCATCTGCAAAATAGGAATGCTAATTGGTTGATTTTGACCATAGCCCTTTTCAGCTTTTCAAGCCTATTTGTTACATTAGAATTCCTAGATCCCATATACATTTGTACGTATTTCACACGTGATCATTTGATTCAGTCCCCTGAACCAGGATGAGGAATGTCAGTGAAACAAATAGTAAAAATGACTTCTATTTTCTATTCTGCTGCAAAACATGTTTCTGGTTAAGCTAGTATTTATTGGTAATAAATTAGATTCTACTACTAGCATAACACCTAACTGGCAAGGTCTAGAAATACAATACTGTAGACTAGACAGAGGCCTGGGAAGTACATAAAGGTCAATGCAAACAAAACAAAAACAAACCATCGCCTGTAATAAAGGGTCTCTAGTTACCTCTTTCCCTGGGAGAGCCGATAGGAAGCAGAGAACTCAAAGCTATGTTTACATGAGATTTCATTGTCAACAGCAAGGAAGATAACTTATTAACTTTGCTCAGTGTCAGATACTGTTCCACTTGTTCACAAGCAAGAACAGCAAGTTTCCAGGAAGCAAGACACAACACCATCACCTTAACTCATGATCAACAAGCCAATGTTAAGGACAGGGACTTGCAGGTGGCTTGCTTATTCCCAAAGGATCACATGAATTGAATATTTTTGCAAGAAACTGTCTTAAAAAAAAAGAGGGCTGGGTGGGAGCAATTAGCATTAGCCAGAACAATATCTGTAGTCAAAGTACTGAGGATTAAAATAAATTTGAAATCTTAAATGCAGCCGAGCACTTAACTGAAGGCTAGCCAAGTTATTCTGTTATTGCAAGTATTACATACATCCTGGATCTACCTTTTTCCACAATTGGAGTGGTGCAAATTATTGAAGAACAAAATCAGAACTGGCGTCTGAGTTTCTCGTGAGCCTTATATTTTGATACCAGCAGAGAATGCTGATCTAAAGAAAGATGTCAACATGGGGAAGGAATAACTAGCACATAATTATCACACATGCAATACGAATATTAATGTGACATCTAGATTGCATATACATTAATCATTGAAATAAGCATTCTAAGGAACCATGTAGGTTGGTCTTTTCATATACAACAGAGAAAGAAGTACAATTAGAAAAACAGAACTAGGAATTCCTAGAAACACACATTTCTAGTATCTAATATAGTATGACTTAAAAGTTGATATCCTGTCTGTAAATATTAATAATAAATTAACCATTTACCACCTTAACACAAAACTGATTGCCTTAGACACTAACATCTGAGAGCTGTTGCAATTTATGAGCCATTGTTTGAAAGCTGTCTAGAAACAAGAGATGTGCCAAATCTGATTCTGGGAGTGTTTTTCACCTAGAACAGCCCATTCTACACATTCTAGGAATGGCTTCTGCCTTTTCTCAACTATATCACCCAGAACAGGAAGTGGTTGGTCATGTTCCAGAGTTAAATCACTCAATTTTTAACTTTTCTACTAGAAATCTTTAGCTGTGACCTTCATCTGGGTTCTCCAATGTTTTATTATAAAACCTAAGAATAATGGCGGCTATGTTGGCCATGGGAAAATCCATCCATCCATCCATCCATCCATCCATCCATCCATCCATCCATCCATCCATCCATCCATCCATCCATCCATCCATCCATCCATCCATCCATCCATCCATCCATCCATCCATCCATCCATCCATCCATCCATCCATCCATCCATCCATCCATCCATCCATCCATCCATCCATCCATCCATCCATCCATCCATCCATCCATCCATCCATCCATCCATCCATCCATCCATCCATCCATCCATCCATCCATCCATCCAATGCTTTTATTAGTGAACTGAAGTTGTACAAAACAATTGCAGATTTGAGTTTCAGAAACTTTTCCTTAGGCAAGCTGTTTTGTTTTTAATTGGAAATCAGGAAAAAAGAGCTGATTGTGGAGGCCTCTCTATACAAGCTTATAATGTTAGATACTATGATGGGAAGCTTTCAAACCTGCAAAATGACTCTTACCATTACTGAGTAGGATTAGATAGCAGTAAGGGCTCTCCCAAAGCAGTAGTAGTAATAAAATATTTATAAATCCTTCATTTTGGAAAGATCAATTTAAATGATAGAAACAGTTTTCATCCTATCAAGGTACACAGACCCTTGACCAACAGAAAACAGAAGAGACTATTTATTAGTTAATGTATCAGTATCAGTATACTGATATATAATTATCCCTCAACCATATTCACTGGCTGGTTCACACAACACACTAAGCCATAGTATGATTTATTTGGTTTTGGATCCTGTGTAAATATAACCTATAAGACCCAGTGTGGTATAGTGCTTAGTATAGTGTGGAGATCATTAGGTGACTTTGAGCCTATTACTTTTTTCTCAGCCTAGCCTACCTTACAACATTGATGTTGATAAAATGGAAGTATAATCCCATATCAGTTGTTTTTGTTCCTTAAACAAAGGGTGTGATGAATAAATAAAACAAACTCTGGTTTAGGGTGGTTATGAATCCAACAATTATCAATTAATTTCTAAAATAGGTCCCAGTGCATTATGCCGAATTGGTTGTAGGTTTTGAGGTCATTAAATTGCCTACTTGAATCTCCCACTAACATCACTCCCCCTCTGCTTACACTTTACACAGATCATCCTGCAATCAAGCCAACATTTCACAAGGGGTTGAAATTTTTTCAAACTGATTATATAGCCTCAAGACTGGAGTTTACTGCTGGCTAATGGGGAGAGCTTTATTTCTGTTATGGTTTAAAATAGGAAATAAATCAAAATCTGAGAAAAGCTTATTTTATTCCCCAGCTTACTTAGGTTGTTTTTAAGTAGCTTTTGGTTACTACCATGTAGAATTATAGAAAAGTATAGTTAAAAACAATGAGATCTAGCTGATGAAGTTCTTTTTGTCATAACATTTGTGCTTTCCAAGAAGCACCCTAATAAAAGGCATTTGGAAAGCTCAGGTTTCATGACGACTTATCATGAGACAAGCAACTTCAGCCTCCAATTTGCTCACATGTTCAAGGGGAGAACAGAAATTGAAATGTCAACAACTACTGGCAAGCTCAAAGCTGTCTTAGGTTTTCAGCCCACAACCAGCCATCAGGAAAATAGCAAGAGTAGATTATTTTATCTGATGCTCACAGCTTCATAAGGAACACAGTGACCTGTAACTAACCCAAGATAACACTGAATTGGAGCTAGGATACTTGTGCTCTTTCTCTCTCTCTCTCTCTGTCTCTGAAAAATGATAGCATAAAAGCAAGAGGTCTGGCAAAGAGAGAATTGGTGTGCAGATATAAATATAATGCATAGGGAAATCCTGTGCAGATATCGAGCTACGCCCACAACTGAACATCTGGAAAGGGGATCAGGTACAAACATTGTTTTGTCCCTAACATCTACACGTTCAATATTGCATTTGCACATATAACCAAGCAGTTGACATAACTGAGTCATTTGCTTGTTTGGGCAAATGTTTACCCTTGTGCACCAGCAGCATATGAACGAGGATCTGTCAGTCAGTTGAAAGTAGCCATTTTGGATCCTCCCAGCTGCCACAAAAGAAGCTGAATGGGCTTCACTTCCTAGCTCACTCCAATAAATAAAATACAATAAAATATAATGCATAGGGAAATCCTGTGCAGATATTGAGCTACACCCACAACTGAACATCTGGAAAGGGGATCAGGTACAACCATTGTTTTGTCCCTAACATCTACACATTCAATATTGCATTTGCTGACTTAGGGAGTGTACTACCTATGTTGATAGTCATTGCTAAAGATGGCTTTAAGAAGAAAATTGGCACATTCTTGAAAGTCAGGTGTATTAGCTGGGAAAGGACTTACAAATGCTAAACTTTTATAAAGCAAGTCGAAGGGAGGAAAAGGATATGGGAATTTAGTACTTTCTGGAAGTATCAGGATGAATGTATTAGGATGCTAACATACATCAAGGTTGACTGCACTTGTGAAGGAATAATTTAACAAAAAAATCAGAAGGTCTGATGTCTACTCAAGTATTTTACAAATGGATAGTACTACGATGCCCAAAAGCATATTACTTAGTGACTGTATTCACTTCACAAGCTAAACCTGAATTAACAAGACATGGCTACTGTGATCATGTAACAAGCTAAGGCAACATCTGGGTCCCCACAACATGCTGAATTATTGATTTTAGCTCAGTTCAGTATGTTGTGCTAATCCAGCCAGAAAGACTGCTAAACTTTGAGTTTTGAAAGTACTTCAAGCTTCCCACTTTATACCTGTAACAATATTTACTTGATCTATAATCCTGGATACAGCAATGCACATACAGGTCCTGTTGCATCCAGACTTCTGTAAATCATTATGTGACTGACCACAACCTTGTATTTGGAAGCCAGAAAAAGGAAAATGAGAATACTGAGAAGGCATTGAGGGCACTATTTAATTATGGCCTTTTAAAATGATTTGTTATTTCCATTCTCTTCTCCCATCAAAAGTCTCAGAAATACCTTAACTGAAGAGAAAGGAATAATGGTGACTCTACCACAGTACTCATGGAAATAAATAAGGATTTCTGGTTCATAGTTTAAATTTCACCCCAATTATGAACTTGCCAGGTGGCCTCAGGCAAGCCATTATCTACTGGTTTTTCTTATAGGAAGAAGAGAGTAAGAAAAACTCTGCTCAGTAAGACCAAAGGACTAATCTACCCCTGCATTCTGTGCAGAATTGCACCCAACCAGATTCTTCCAGGGAGCTCACAACAGTGCTTCTTAATCCCCAAGTATCCTTGATTTAGCTTTAGTGGATGATCCACTATTAGAGGAATGAAGATGATCGTGATGGTACTGGACAAAGGTATAGGGCTATTACAAAAATTATTGCAGTACAATAACTGATATGAAATGCATTGAGCACAAAGGAGACTGCCATGTTAATAACAAAAACATGTATCGCTATCTTAAGCTCCATTTATACTGTATTTGATGATCACGTTACATAATTTAGATATGGAATGTCATCAAGAATATATGTATGCCTCTATATAGAATGAGATTCAGCAGAATAAGAATCAGCAAGGAAAACTATTACAACATGGACATTTTAACAAGCCACTTTTGGGCTGAAAAACATCAATTATAGTTTCAATTATTAGATTATACCTCCCACAATTATTATTTATATACTATGTAGCCTATTCTTTATTAGTTGGCTATTTAACACCATGTATTCACAGACCAAAGCAGCTTTGAAGACCCTGACCCAAGGACTCACAAACACATAAGAAAAAATGAGAGCGAAATAGACATGAAGTATATCGGACAGAACATAAGATTATTTTTATTCTCCTAACCATCTTCTTGGGACATAAAACTGTCTTCCAATAGACACTTGTTGACCTTTTGGTCTCATATAATCAACTTTCAGGTCTGTGTGAAGCCTCAACAAAGGCTCTATTCAATGTAGCTCTTCAGAAT